GATTTTTTATCTTTATTTCAGTTTTAAAGTCTGTCTTGACTTTAAGGTTCATCGTACCTTTTTTTACTTGCACAAAATTTTGCTTTTATGCTTATGATTTCAAAAGAAATGTAATTTATAGCTAAACTGCATTCCTTGCAGGGTAAAAATTTGACAGTAATGGCCTTTAAACTTGACAATTTTATAAAGGAATCATAGTCATTTATCCCAGTTAGAGTTATCTCTCTTATCAGGGGGTCAGTGAACCTTAAATAACCATACTGAATTAGAAATCTGTGCCAGGTTATTCGAAAGGTTTAGAATTAATAAATGTGCCATTCCTGCATTATTGTGATTCAAAATATCATGGAGATTAATTCATCTTTTTTTTCTTTGACTATATCATATTTTAATTGAACCACTTTTTGAAAGGACCATAGCTTCATTATGCCCATATATAACAATCGACTATGCTTTCCAGGTCCTTTTAGATTTTGGGAGAAAACAAAATTCAAGTTCTGGATTTAATTGTTACATTAAGTTAATGAGGAGTTACACACTTGGTAAGATTACAAAAGATGGAAGTCATGAGATCAAAATGATTAACTTTTGATATTGAAAATTATTAATGGGATGTATTGAAGAAAAAAAAAACTCGATCTGTGATGGATTGTCTCATTTTGTTTCTGTGTACATGGTGTATTAGCATTGAAAGTAATTATAGTCTTTAACCTGTCTGAGCTGTTACAATACCTTATAGTGAGTGTATAGACATGAAGGCAGTTTAAAATTGGCTTTTAAGTTTTCATATATTAGACAATAATTCCAACTAGAGAAAAATATCTTCCTTAAAATAAAACTAAACTTTGATTTCTGAAGTTAATTAAGAATGCTATTGATTGACATACATATAGTTGTCCTTATATATAAACATTTTTCACTGTGCTTGATTTAAAAAAAAAGTCTGTGCTGTACAGTTTTGGAGATATCCATCTTGACCTTGACCTTTTCACATGACCTCTCTGCTCAGAACAGATTTATTTTTCATGCATGTGAACAAGACTTCAGCACATACATGTAGTAAATCTCCCACAGCCTAAATGCTTAATACATGTGATTTAACAAAAGATTAATTTGTTATACATGTTAAGGTGTCCCATTTATCTTCTAAATGGCCTCCATGTGTCATTTGTTGGGGGTCAGTTTTATGGGTCTATAAGCAGCTCCTGTGTGTGGAGCTATAATAGTTCATTGTTTCTCAGGTGTGAATTAAGTGAGAGAGGACATTTGTTAGCTAGAATTTATGTGTACTCAGACATATAACATAAATATGATTTTTCATGAAAGTATGGCTAAAATGATTGTGTTAATGGAGTGACTAGATTAAATGTAAGACTGGAATTTTAGTTTTAATCATGTTAATAAGGGGACCACCAAAATAAAAGTACAGTTAATTAAGCATAAATTTGTAATTGAGTTCTAAATATATTTTGTAGAGTTTCCTAAATAAATAATGTGCCTAATTTAGACAGGCAGCCTTCTACTGATCCTAAATACATGTAAATCTTAAAATTTTTCATGGGATACCAGTATTTATTTCAGTAAAAGCCATCGATTGATGTACAAAATATAATTAACAAGCAATGCATGTGCATTTCTTCAGGAAAGATAAAGTATGATAAGTTCACTTAATTATTCACATAAAGTGAATTCTTAATGTTAAATCTATAATGTCAGTGAATCTTTTCATAGTGTAATGACTGTGATCCCTCCTTTTTTGCTACTAAAACATGATTTCTATTCACATTACAAATTAAGCTACTTATCACTTAGTAGCTTTGATGCAAATTGCTTATGTTCAAAACTCAAATAAAGTGGTCTAGTCCTGTAAGCCCTTGTCTTAGGAAACCATTCAGTTTTGATGAATTTGATGTTACAGGGATATATCACAAGTATTAAATGTTTCTATTCTTGTTGGGTCAATGTGTATTGTTTGATCAACAAAATCATAAATAACATATGGAAAGCTCATTAAATCAAAAGTTTCTGCTGGAAAATTCTTGAGTGTGCACGGTGTAAGTCTCAGCTGCACAGAGCCATTGTAAGGAATGGATCAAGGTAGCTTTTTCTTTGATGTGTAGATAAGCTGTAGTTAAAGTCTGACACAAAAGTATTGTAGAATTTATATTGTCATATATCGTCCTGGACTTTCTTTTGATCTTGATGATCTTGGGTGCCATGAAGTTGGTGACGGTGTGTATTTTTTCAATTTAAGGACATTTAGTTTAATTCCAGTATGTAAGTGTTTCCAGTATATCTATACATTCAGTTAAATTTTGCTGCTTTTAAAATTCAGTGTCCTTGAATTGACATTTCCTTTAAATTGGTAAGCATTGCAAAAATCTATAGATTATAAAGCATTATATAATAATTGCAGAGATGTAAAATAAATGACATTTAAGTTCTGTACTTCAAAAGTGAAAAAGGGGGGTTTCATTATCTGACCATTTTAATATACATGTATGACCGTTAATTTTATTTTAGATCTTTAATATGACTATAATTACATCTGTATATATTTTAGTTATATATCTTACAAAAAAAAAATTATTCCTTTAGCAGTAGTGCATTGATGTATCTGTATGTTGTTAATGATATGCAGTCTTAATTCATATTATTGGTGACGTTATAACCATAACCTTTAATTGTAATAAAAGAAATGTCAATAAACTTGTACCTGCAGACACAATAAAGAGCTAGGTTCACTTTATGCATAAAATGGCCCTGTCCTTATATCAATTAATTGACTATCACCCTCTGTCCCATTTCATATATCAAAATAAAGTAGAGACTTGTGCTTTCATTTCCTAGAACAAATTTTTTTTGGAGAATCCAGGTATTGGAAAAAAGGCTTTGAGAAAATGCAATGTTCTTGAATTTTGCAGAAAACATGCGTATTTGACTACCTTCAGCAAAGAATTAAAATATGAGCACAGCCCATGATCCAAAAATTAAAACATGTATTGTGATCTTCAGAAACAGATCTTTCATTATTTAATTGCATATTTTGGATCGGAAGTTGTGCTCTATATGAAATATTGAAAAAATACCTCAACATTTGGCCATTTCTAAGGGAATTTAGAGGAAATGGGGAAAATGACGCGTTTTATGACGTCATAATACATTGACTAGAGAGAAAATTACGCCATGTTCAATAGATAAATGGTCACCAAGGGTCCAAGTTATAAATACTGCATTTCAACCAAAACTGAGCAGTTTTGATTTTTCAGAAATTCTCAGGGCCAAAAAAGGCCCTTAGTGGCTCTTGCTCTTTCTATTTTGTTTTTCATTACCGTAAGTTTAATGTTTTCCTTAGTTTTTGATAAACTTGCAGGTATTGCATATCTTTCCTCTAACTGTAATGAGCATTTTGTTCACAATGATGTAAATTCCTTTTTATTGTCAAGGTTATAATCCAATTTTCAAGTGTTTAGGCTTGAAGATTAGAGGTTGTTGTTAATATTAAATAACAAGGTTTACATACCATTCATTTCAATGTTAATTAAAAAGCCAAGATTCTTCAATTTTTCTGAATAATAATTAACATATCAGTTGGAAGGTCTCAAGTGGACCTGTGATCATATATGTAGAGAATAATACATGGCAAAATCTGTATCACACCCCATATCAACCCCGAGACTCCAATATCAGCCCGAGGGCCGAAGTGATGTAAGCTTTGCTAAATGCTAGTCTCAGTGCACTAATTAAAATGATGTTATGAATCTTTGATCCATTTCATAAAGATTTTCATCAATATGCTAAAGCAGTATTTATCATAAAAACAACCTTTTGAATAAGGCACAATTAAATTTTTATTTAAACTAATTGACATTCAAGTATATATGTAGTAGAAATACGAATTGATATTTATTCTGTGTATGTGTATTTATATTATAATTCCTAATAAATTTTAATTAAAATATCATACTGAATATGTTTAAATATTTAAATTATTAATTAATGTGTTCATATACATAATTTTTTTTTTAAAAGAAACCCCAAGATCTGGCAATTTTGCAGACCAGGATCGAGCCTCTTTCTATAACTGTACTCTCATAAGCATGATAAGTTTTTTTTTTCTTAGATAATGAGAGCATGATTAATAGGTACATGTAGATGGTTATAAGCACTGGGTAGAACCTTTGTTTAATAGCTCTTAACTATGAGAAATTCATATCTTAAAAACAAGAAAAACTTCAAAGCAGTATATTTTTTGTAAACTAATTAATGATTAATATAACAAAGATTAATGTGATTTAATTCTGAGGCGAATCCCGTCACATCCTGTAATCTACAAGACGATATACATGATGTAAAGTGTTTAACTTGTGTAGTGTACATCAGATCCTGGTTATTGAAGACACAGTGATGTCTGAAATATATAATCTGTTCACTTAATAAAATGGCTGATGTCATCTTCATGAGTTGTCGGATGTGTGTATAAAGTTTGTTTCGTATACACATAACTGAAACGTAGCACAGATTATTTCATACTTATTTATCAATAAACTACGAGTACTTTATGACATGCATTTATTGATGAAACATGAAATACGAAACTTTGATTGAAGAGGATTGTGATCCTCAATGTGAAAGTCCCACTGATGATGAAAATGGTAATGTACTACATGTATAAATTAACGAGATTTAAATTCTGCTGAGATACGTTTACCTATTTAGTGTACTGTAGGTGCACTATGTCATAAAGTCACAAAATTCTTAGATTTTCAGTTAAGAATTTCAGTGTTTACATGTAATGCAAAATGAAGAAATGAAATAAATTTTCGGCCATTGATCTATGATAAAGTCTGTACTAAATGAACTTTCTTGCACACACTTTACTACTTTTATGTCATTATAAGAGATGTCTTGCAAGCATGATGTTTAAGCGTTTATTTTTGTACTGTAACAGTATATGTTCTCAAAATGATTAGATGCATTTTGAATTGTTATTTTAAAAGGTAAGAAGAAGATGAGTTCTGATGATGTGGAGTCTAGGGAGTCACTGTTGGAGCCAAATGGACACGCCAAAGTGGTGGTTGAGCGACCTGTGTTCTCCCAACAGAAATTTGATGAGGGATTTAGCCCGGGGGCACGACCCCAGACCACGTTTAAGGAGAGCCTCCTTAAGTCTTGTAAAAAATGCCAGTGTTCCAAAGACTGCTTCCTGAGTTTTCTGTATAGGATTTTCCCATTTATTGGGATCATGAAGGACTATAATATCCGGACTGATCTGACAGGGGATATTGTGTCTGGACTCACTGTGGGGATCATGCACATCCCTCAGGGTAAGAGAGATGGAATGTAAATACAGTAAAACTTTTAAGAGTCTGGAATGATGTCTTAACTGGCAAAGAATTCTTTCTATGGAGCCAGTGATATTGAGGTACAATTTATATAGACAAGTTTTACTGTATACATGTATGTACAGTACTAGTGTATATTTTAAGACATGGGGCATAGTAGGATATCCATTGTTAAGTAGCTGTGTTTCTTATGCAATGGGGTGAGGAATGCAACATGACCAATCATGGAAAACTTTAATAATTTTATTGTTATGATACAGATAATCAAAGTTTATTTAAGAAATGAATTTAATTTTTGAAGATTCATGAGGACATGAACTACAACGCTTCACGCCGACATATTTCATGAAGCGCGTTAGTGCTTCATGATAAATATGCCGGCGTGAAGCGTTGTAGTTCATGTACCTCATGAATTTTCAAAAATTAAATTCATTTCTTATAATTACATTATTTTTCTGATGAGTTTCCACAAGTTATGCCATTCAACTGTCATTTTTGAAGCAAAACAGTTTGCACTATAGTTTTGACGTCTAGTACGGTACTATGACGTAACAATGGAAATATTCATGCTCAGCTCATGGTAGTTCATGAGAGAATGAACAATCTTCTAATTTGCAAAGAATTTTAAGGAAAAATACTTGGAAATGTAAATATTTGGTTATAAGTTTCGTATTTTTAGGTTAATTTGTGTACAGGAAATATTTATATAGTAGACATCCAACTTGTCAAGGTCAACTTGAATATCTTCCTTACATGTATCTATAGCCATCAGTTAGATTGGTCTAACAATTTACTATTTCATGGAAGTGATTAATAGGTCTGTACATGTAACTTTGTGTAAAATTTTAAAGGAGAAAAGTGAATTATTGCATCATGTGCATTAGCAAAAGTTGTGAGACCTAGACCTAAACTTTTAACTTATGACCATTGAGCACTGAGGGTTCTTTTTTGTGTCAGTACATATATCTCCTATGACATGAGACTTCAATTTATGGGTCCCATCCAAAATGACCGGTCACTTTGACCTGCTGTGGGATCCAAACTGCTGTTATTAAGAATTAGTTCCTTACTCTAAAATGAAGCAAAACCTTCTCTGTAACTACTGTTCAAAAATTAACAAAATAAATCTAAATAAAAAAAAGAACTCAGTGAGGAATCATATAAGCCTATGTACATGTATAACTTTTTGAGTTTATTTATTTTACATGTTAAATGAGGTATGACTGTTTATTGTATACATGTACATATTTTGTAGGTATGGCTTATGGAATGCTGACCACTCTTGATCCAGTATATGGCCTGTACACTTCATTTTTTCCTGTGATTCTGTATTTCTTTTTTGGAACCTCTAGGCACATTTCTATAGGTAAGACATTTATGCCTGCAGTCATACTAAATCTACTATAAACCAATTGTTAGCTCACCTGAGCTGAAAGCTCAAGTGAGCTTTTCTGATCACCCGTTGTCCGACTGTCTGTCCGTCTGCCTGTAAACTTCTCATATTTTCAACTTCTTCTCAAGAACCAATGGGCCAATTTTAACCAAAGTTGGTACAAAGCATCCTTGGGTGAAGGGGAAAGGACCAGGCCCCCCTGCAAGGGGAGATAATCAAGAAAAGGCAAAAATAGGGTGGGGTCATTAAAAAATCTTCTCAAGAACCACTGGGCCAGAAAAGCTTAAACTCATGTGAAAACATGCTGGGGTAGTGTAGATTCTAAATTTTTTAAATCATGACCCCCGGGGGTAGGGTGGGGCCACAATAGGGAATCTAATTTTTGCATTGAAATACATACAAAAAACCCTTATTGATCTCCTTTACAAGAACCACTGGGCCAGATATGCTGAAATTTATGTGGAAGCATCCTGGAGTTAGTGAAGATTACAAATTATTAAAGCATGACCCCAGTGGATAGGGCGGGGCTACAATAGGTATTACATTGGGGAAAATTTGGTGAAGAACAGCAGGGCCAAAGTTACTCAGGTGAGTGTTGTGGCTCATGGGCCTCTTGTTTTATTTTGTCATGTGTATCTTAGTTTCATGTTTTCACTTAGTTGGGAAATCATTAAAGATTATTGCTCTGTTTGATTATTTCCTTTCCTTTTTGTAAAAACAAAGACAGCTAGAGATAGACAATAGTGAAAGAAAATGGGAGATAATGTGCATGATCGAATATAAAAAATCAGCATAAAATAAGTATTGATGAACTGAAGTTGATTTATAGTAATTTAAGTCCATTGCTATATTTTTCATTTAATGTTTAATTTTTTAGCTCACCTGAGCTGAAAGCTCAAGTGAGCTTTTCTGATCACCCGTTGTCCGTCCGTCTGTCCATCTGTCCGTCTGTCCGTCCGTCCGTCTGTAAACTTTTCACATTTTCAACTTCTTCTCAAGAACCACTGGGCCAATTTTAACCAAACTTGATACAAAGTACCCTTGGGTGAAGGGGAGTTTAAATTGTTAAAATAAAGGGCAAAGTCTCCTTACAAGGGGAGATAATCAAGAAAAGACAAAAATAGGGTGGGGTCATTAAAAAATCTTCTTCTCAAGAACCACTGGGCCAGAAAAGCTGAAACTTATGTGGAAGCATCCTGGGATAGTGTAGATTCTAAATTGTTAAAATCATGACCCCCGGGGGTAGGGCGGGGCCACAATAGGGAATCCAAGTTTTACATTGAAATATATAGGAAGAATCTTTAAAAATCATCTTCTCAAGAACCACTGAGCCAGAAAAGCTGAAACTTATGTGGAAGCATCCTGGGATAGTGTAGATTCTAAATTGTTCAAATCATGACCCCGGGGGTAGGGCGGGGCCACAATAGGGAAACATTGAAATATATAGGAAAAATCTTTAAAAATCTTCTCAAGAACCACTGGACCAGAAAAACTGAAACTTATGTGGAAGCATCCTGGGATAGTGTAGATTCTAAATTGTTCAAATCATGGCCCTCAGGGTAGGGCGGGGCCACAATAGGTATTACAAGGGGGAAGTCTGGTAATGAACAGCATGGCCAAAGTTACTCAGGTGAGCGATGTGGCCCATGGGCCTCTTGTTTACTTTTGAAACACTATATAAGCAGAATTTTTAGCGAGGATTCAATTTTGACATTATTAGGAAGGGTTTTGAGATCGCTAAAATTAATTACTGCTAACAATTTATTCTGTGTTGGTTGCTATAGCTATCTTTCTTGACATTATCAAATTGCTAAAATTACTTCTTGCTAAAATTAAATACCCTTTTTTTTTTTTTTGGATAAATCGCTAAATTTGCATCTCAATAAAAATTCTACTGATATGGTACATGTATTATGATTGTAGGAACCTTTGCTGTAGCTTGTCTGATGATGGGCTCAGCCATTGAGAAAGGTTTGAAGTCTCCAGGTGTACATATTATTACAACATGTGTCAATGAATCAAGTGCCATGGCAACCATGAATCTGACCAATCAGAGTCTTCCCCTGTACACACTGTCATGTAGTGACAACACAGAGTCGGTCAAGCTGGAGATAGCAATGGCCGTCACCTTTGTTGTCGGTCTGATACAGGTGATTATGAAGTCCAACTATAGCAGCTGAAAAAATTAGTTGATTGTGGGAGGAAGAATTTTTAGAGGGAACAACCTAACCCCCTGCTTTGTTACACAACTTTTTCTGTATAGATAACAATTTTCTTTAGTTTACAGAAGATGGTAAGGAAAATAAGTTTTAAGCAAAATTAATAATTTTATGAGGCAAAATATAATAGAAATCATATGATTTATTAAATATTTATTTAAAAGAAAGATAATGACTTAGTAAGTTAAGGGTTATAATTTCTATTGGAATGTATATTGTGTTTTCAACAAATGTATTTCCAGTGTGTGAAGTGTCCAGATCATTGGTGTCCAGATTTACAAGACTATACTTTATAAAACATTTGTTTTTCTTTGTACTTTGTCAAGTAAATAAGTGAACTATTAATTACTTGTTAAATGTCTGTGTCCTGTGCCTTTTCAGCTTCTAATGGGTGTGACCCGCCTAGGCTTTGTGACGACCTACCTCTCTGACCCACTCATTAGTGGATTCACCACGGGGGCGGCCTGTCATGTATTTACTAGTCAGATCAAACACGTGTTTGGAATCACAACTGACCGATACAGTGGGGCTTTTAAACTTATTTATGTAAGTATAAGGGTGTGCATATGTTCAGATACATGAAATTAATTTTATAGTCTCAGTTTAAAAATTTTTTATTTCAGACATACATTGATTTCTTTGGAAAACTGGCCCACACCAATGCAGTAACCCTAATAGCTTCTGTGTTATGTATGGCGATGATCTACATTGTAAAAGAGTATATCAACAATAACCCAAAGATAAAACCCAGACTCAAAATGCCAGTCCCTATAGAACTCATAGCTGTAAGTACTCATAATGTAGAACCAGACTCAAAATGCCTGCTCCTTTAGAACTCATTGCTGTAAGTACTCATAATATAGACCCAGACTCAAAATGCCTGTCCCTATAGAACTCATAGCTGTAAGTACTCATAATGTAGACCCAGACTCAAAATGCCAGTCCCTATAGAACTCATCGCTGTAAGTACTCATAATGTAGACCCAGACTCAATATGCCTGTCCCTATAGAACTCATCGCTGTAAGTACTCATAATGTAGAACCAGACTCAAAATGCCTGTTCCTATAGAACTCTTAGCTGTAAGTACTCATAATGTAGACCCAGACTCAAAATGCCTGTCCCTATAGAACTCATAGCTGTAAGTACTCATAATGTAGACCCAGACTCAAAATGCCAGTCCCTATAGAACTCATAGCTGTAAGTACTCATAATGTAGAAACAGACTCAAAATGCCTGCTCCTTTAGAACTCATTGCTGTAAGTACTCATAATATAGACCCAGACTCAAAATGCCTGCTCCTATATAACTCATTGCTATAAGTACTCTTAATATAGACCCAGACTCAAAATGCCTGCTCCTATATAACTCATTGCTGTAAGAACTCATAATATAGACCCTGACTCAAAATGCCTGCTCCTATATAACTCATTGCTGTAAGTACTCATAGACCCAGACTCAAAATGCCTGCTCCTATATAATCATTGCTGTAAGAACTCATAATGTAGGCCCAGATTCAAAATGCCTGCTCCAAAAGAGCTCATTTCTGTAAGAACTCATAATGTAGACCCAGACTCAAAAGCCTGTCCCTAGAGAACTCATAGCTGTAAGTATTGGTAATGTAGACCAAACTCAAAATACCAGTCCATATAGAACTCATTGCTGAATTACAGAAATGTGGAAAAGTTGCATGAGTAAAGTTTCTATGAAGCATTTATGACACATTCAGCATAGGTTACAAATTTGTATGCATGCAGCAAAAAAGATTCTCTTTTCTGAGGAAAATGAATTTCAAGAAATCTCATGAGTAAGTACACATTCAATATAAAATGGAAACTGACTTATAAACATAGTCAAGTTCACAGCATTTGAAAATGAGTTGAATCATTTCATATTTAGGCTTCGTATCTGGTAGAGTATAAAGGCTTTTCAATTTGTCTTTTTTTTTTCAGGTAGTACTAGGAACTGTGATATCATACTTTGTAGATATTAACAACAATTACGGTGTCAAAATAGTCGGAGATATTCCTACAGGGTAAATGATCTTACTATGCATTACTGTATAATGTTAAAGAGTTATTCCATTTTATTCTGTTGTCATGACATAATAAAAGTTAATTGATATCATACAATTAAAATTTTTCTAATTTTGGTCAACTTTGAGAGTTTGGATCTATTATTATTATTATTACTAGTATATGTTTTTGTTAATTTCTGTTGATTTTGGAGAGATATTTACTTTTAATTAAAAATCTTTTTTACTTTAATTTGCCAGACTTCCTGTTCCCACTGTGCCAAACTTTTCCCTGATGCCTGATGTTATAGCTGATGCCTTTGCTTTAGCTGTTGTTGTCTTTGCTATCTCTGTATCTATGGGCAAAATCCTTGCCAGGAGGCATGGATATGAAATTGAGTCTAACCAGGTATTTACAAACAGTGAAAGTTACACAGTTATAGTGTGTAGTCTAGGATAACATCTCTTCCAAACAAAAATGTATTGGCTAGTAAAGAAATATAATTATACAGGTTTTGTGCAACATTGCAGTATGATAATTTGTTTGCAGAAGTTTGTTACATGTACATGTACATGTATCTTATAAAAGTGACAAACTGATATAATTACACCGGTTGTGTAGATCTGGTTTTGAGTTATGTTGAGGAATTCTCTATGTGAGATGCATCTACATATTGAGATATATATATATATATATATATATATATATATATATATATATATATATATATATATATATATATATATATATATATATATATATATATATATATATATATATATATATATATATATATATATTTTACAAGCCTATTTTACATTACAGGAGTTGATTGCCTATGCTATAACCAATATTGGCAGCTCTTTCTTCTCTTCCTTTGCATCTTCTGCATCTTTATCAAGGAGTCTCATTCAGGAACATGTTGGAGGGGTCACTCAGGTCAGTATCATAGTGTCAGAGGTCAAATGTCATAATATACAGAATTTATACTTATCTGTAGGGCCACATACTGATACAAAAACTAATGCTGTTAAATTAAATGTGTTAATCATTGTATTTTGTAATTTAAGTTAACAAACAACTATGTCAAAACAGAGAGGAAATTTCACACAATATCATACAGACATCTAATACAGTTTCATGTCTTGACAAGAATGAAGCAAGAAGAACTGAGATTTGATTCCTGCTTTCTGAGCAGGAAATGGCATTACATTTAATCTAACATGACTGATATTCACAAAAACTTTAAGTTACCATTTTTATAAAATTATTTCAAAACATAACTCAGTAAATTTGCCATATTTTTGATGTAAAAAAATACAAATGTATACAAAACAAATCAAACAACAATATTCTAAAAAATATACAAAAGAAAATTCAATATAAATGTATAAGATTTAATAAAAAAGATTCTATCTGTATATCAAATTTGACTAGATTTTATGACAGTAGAGCAGATAAAATTTTCAATTTCAGAAATGGCACAATTACCAGTATCCAAGAGTCATGGGTTTCCCCATGAAAACAACCGCCGTTTGAATTTATTCCCATTTTTGTCAGTGATTTTAAAACCCTATTAGTTTTTAAACTTAAACATGATATTAAAAATCTCTGACATTAAATTGGCACAAAGACCTTATGCACAAATCCAAGCATGGCCGCTAGTTTCATCTAGCAAATCGGACAGGACATTGTACCATGAAATTTCTATGTCGAACTGGTATATCTGTTCTTCAGTATACCTTTGCCTTTTAGAAACACATTATCATAGAGATATGCCATCAAATTCTGTTATACCAAGTTGGCAGCCATTGCTTGGATTTGTGATGCACATTTTATTTAACATTACATAGATGCTTTTAAATAAAAAAAACAGTTCAATCAGTCAAGCGTTTACATGATTCTCTCTCATCCTGTGTATTACTCAAACCTATAAGTCCTAAATTCAGATGAATATAATGAGAAAAAAAATATGAATCCTATCGGTTGAAAAAATTTCTTCGGACCACACCGATTTATGTGAGTCGGCCAGCAATGCCAAATAAAGCTAATTTTATTTTTGGCCTAGTTGCGTTAAAAACTGCTCGACTGTAAGCCACATCATTCCAAAAACTGAGAGTAATAGAAGTAGAAATTTATATGATGATATTAATTTCCTATATACATGGTCAACTTCCTAATTTTTACTCTCTAATATACCTGTAACATGATGTATCATGGAATTGTAGAATTCCAGTTGTCTTATGATATTTTCTCCTTCTACAGCTGACTGGGCTGGTATCTAGTGCTCTGCTCCTCCTTGTGCTTCTTGTATTAGGGCCATACTTTAAAACTTTACCCAAGGTAAGTCATAAAAATCTTCTTGTATAAGGGTCATACTTTAAAACATTACCCAAGGTAAGTCATAAAATCTTCTTGTATTAGGGCCATACTTTAAAACTTTACCCAAGGTAAGTCATAAAAATCTTGTATTAGGGCCATACTTTAAAACTTTACCCAAGGTAAGTCATAAAAATCTTCTTGTATTAGGGCCATACTTTAAAACTTTACCCAAGGTAAGTCATAAAATCTTCTTGTATTAGGGCCATACTTTAAAACTTTACCCAAGGTAAGTCATAAAAATCTTGTATTAGGGCCATACTTTAAAACTTTACCCAAGGTAAGTCATAAAAATCTTGTATTAGGGCCATACTATAAAACTACCCAAGGTAAGTCATAAAAATCTTCTTGTATTAGGGCCATACTTTAAAACTTTACCCAAGGTAAGTCATAAAATCTTCTTGTATTAGGGCCATACTTTAAAACTTTACCCAAGGTAAGTCATAAAAATCTTGTATTAGGGCCATACTTTAAAACTTTACCCCAGGTAAGTCATAAAATCTTCTTGTATTAGGGCCATACTTTAAAACTTTACCCAAGGTAAGTCATAAAAATCTTGTATTAGGGCCATACTTTAAAACTTTACCCAAGGTAAGTCATAAAATCTTCTTGTATTAGGGCCATACTTTAAAACTTTACCCAAGGTAAGTCATAAAAATCTTGTATTAGGGCCATACTTTAAAACTTTACCCAAGGTAAGTCATAAAAATCTTCTTGTATTAGGGCCATACTTTAAAACTTTACCCAAGGTAAGTTATAAAATCGTCTTGTATTAGGGCCATACTTTAAAACTTTACCAAAGGTAAGTATCTTCTTGTATTAGGGCCATACTTTAAAACTTTACCCAAGGTAAATCATAAAAATCTTTAAATTTTTAGCACAAGGCAAAGCAAATATCCTCTCAAAAATTTCAGCATAACATCTTCATAATGTGGAAAAACTTTGATCTTTCTAATTTACTCTTTCACTTTTCAGTGTGTTCTGGCTGCAATCATTATTGTAGCTCTAAAGGGAATGTTCCGTCAATTCCTGGAGCTTCCCAAACTCTGGAAATTATCCAAGATTGACTTTGTAAGTGATAGACATTGTCTTTGTTTCATCTTTTATGATACATTAAATTTATATGCACTATCTGAAAGAGTATTTTATAACCATTGAATAAATAAGATAAAAATTTGAAAAATCTTTGGAAAGTGTTTTTGCTATAAATGTATTTATCCTTATAAACAGTTAAATTCTGTATCTTTTTATGTTTGATTTGGATCCTGTTTTGTTTTGCCGAAGGCTCAGGTGAGCTTTTCTGATCGAAATTTGTCTGTTGCCTGTTGTCGTCATTGTCTTCATTGTCGTAAACTTTTCACATTTTCCTCTTCTCCTCAAGAACCACTGGGCCAATTTCAACCAAACTTGCCGCAAAGAATCCTTGGGAAAAGTGGATTCAAGTTTCTTCAAATAAAGGGTCATGCCTTCTTCCAAGGGGAGATAATTATGATTTTGCGAAAAATTAATGGCATCATTTAAAAATCTTCTTCTCAAGAACCACTGTGATTAAAATTATGAAACTTATATAAAATCATTGTGAGGTAGTGTAGATTCAAATGTGCTCAAATCATGAACCCTGTGAATAGGGTGGGGCCACAATGGGGGGTCAAAGTTTTGCATAGGAATACATAAAAAAAATTAAAAAATCTTCTTCTCAAGAACAGCAAAGCCATGATGGGTCATATTCATATGGAAGCATCCTCGGGTAGTGTAGATTCACTTTTGTTCAAATCAGGACCCCCGGGGGTAGGATGGGGCCAAAATGGGGGATCAAAGTTTTACATAGGAATACATAGGAAAAATCTTCTTCTCAAGAACAGAAAAGTTGTGATTGAGCTTATTGATATGGAAGAATCCTCAGGTAGTGTAGATTCAAGTTTGTTTAAATCATGACCCCAAGGGGTAGGGTGGGGCCACTACAAAGTTTTACATAGGAATACATAGGAAAAAATCTTTAAAAATCTTTTCAAGAACAGCAAAGCCATAATTATTAGACATATTTATATGGAAGCATCCTTAGGTAGTGTAGATTCAAGCTTGTTCAAATCTTGACCCGGGGGGGGGGGGGGGGGGGGGGGGGGACCAAAATGGGCGATAAAAGTTTTACATAGGAAAAATCTTTAAAAATCTTCACAATAACAACAAAGGCATGATTGGTCATGATAATATAAAAGCATCCTCAGTTAATGTAGATTTAAATTTGTTCAAATCATGACCCCCCAGGAGAATAGAGGAGCCATAACAGGGGATCATAGTTATACAAGGGAATATAAAGGATATATCAATAAAAAACTTCATATTAAGAACAGCAAAGCCATTATGTGTCATATTGATTCAAAAGCATCCTTAGGAAGTTTAGATTCAAGCTTGTTCAAATCATAGCCCCCCCCCCTTTTTATATTTAAATTTTTCATTACTGAACTGATTTCTGCTTTTTCCTAGCCACAGTGCTCAGGTGAGCGATGTGGCCCCTGGGCCTCTTGTTATCCCAGGTTACAGTTTAACTCCATATCTAATTACCACAGATTTGGATCCTGGCTTGTTCTTATCCCTACAGTATAACTCCATTTCTAATAACAGCTGATTTGGATCCTGTCTTGTTCTTATCTCTGTTTACAGTATAACTCAATATCTAATTACAGCTGATTTGGACCCTGTCTTGTTCTTATCCCTGTTTACAGTATAACTCCATATCTAATAACAGCTGATTTGGATCCTGTCTTGTTCTTATCCCTGTTTACAGTATAACTCCATATCTAATAACAGCTGATTTGGACCCTGTCTTGTTCTTATCCCTGTTTACAGTATAACTCTATATCTAATTGCAGCTGATTTGGACCCTGTCTTGTTCTTATCCCTGTTTACAGTATAAATCCATGTCTAATTACAGCTGATTTGGATCCTGTCTTTTTCTTATCCCTGTTTACAGTTTAACTCCATATCTAATTACAGCTGATCTGGATCCTGTCATTCCTAGCCACTGTGATATTAGATGTAGATCTCGGCCTGTTGTTTGGAGTTATTGTAGCTATATTTACTGTTGTGTACAGGGTACAGAGGTAGGTTGGATTCTATGAAAAGTCTATTGTCATTTTACTTAATATTAGTATATTACTCTGTAACAAGTTGAAAATTTTGATTATTATGTGAATTCCTTTGCTAATTGTAATTAATGTGATGTTTATCAGTGGCTTTTATACATGTATTTAAAGTTTTGAATTTACCAATAGAGAGTTTTTTTTTTTATTAACTTTGAAAAGCAGTTGTAGTCTACTCCTCTTTCATTGTGTATAAATGACACACCTATAAATTTTCAGACCTTATGTATGTGTACTGGGACAGATGCCAGGTACTGATATCTACAGAGATATTTCTGTTTATAAAGAGGTAAACAAGCAGTTTAATCCTATTTTCTTGTTTAAAGAAGACATTGTAAGCCATTTTCTTAGTTTTTTTGTTGTTGAACATATTGTTACTAAAAAGACTGCTTAAAACCCAATTAAAAAACAATAATTTATTTCAGGCACAAGAAATTCCACGTGTAAAGATTTTCCGTTTTGAAAATGCCTTATTTTTTGTGAGTGTGGAACATTTTAAAAACATGCTCTTTAAGTTCACTTGTAACCCACGGCATGTGAAACAGGATATTGAAGCAGCTAGATATCGCATACAGAAAGAGAAAGACAAGTTTGACAAAATTACATTCAAGGTAATAAACTAGTCATTGTTAATAAACTGGTCATTTGTTAGCATGTTAATTGAGCCAGTCTAAATTACTTAGGGAATAACTATGTAGCTTTTGGTTGATGATTGGATTGGAACACATGGAAATTTAAAGGAATGCAGAAAACATACATGTACAAAATAATTACCCTATACTTCAAGAGACTTATCATCTACATAGACTCAAAAATGTAGACAGTTGTGCTGTTTTTTAATACACTTTTGCCCACTAATAATTGATTGTACATGTAAAACTCATCACCAATTTTAGATGATTCTGTCTGTTAATCATCACTTAATTAGTTGATGGTTAAGAAACTAATCAACTAATAGATATAAATATTGATGGTAGTCAAAAAAATTCTCTGTAATAAAAAAGTATTTGATTTTTAAACAAGAGGAATCAAAGTAACATGATAGAGTTATCTTTCAATTGTAGAGTTAAATATACTGTGTTATTTTCTTCATCAACTTCTATAGTGAGCTGGATTTAGATGATACTAAGACTTTCACCTTTAATTGTAAAAAAAAGTATTGAGAAAACCAGCATATCATGTATATTTTTAGAATTCCACTGACGAGGTTGAGATGACAGTGAATGGGAACGAGACCCAGATTTCAGAATTCCAGTCCTCCATTGTAGAACCTGAGGTTGGCTTTGACACCATCATCTTGGACTGTTCCACATGGAGTTTTATTGATGCCATGGGTGTGAAAGCCCTCACATCAGTAAGTGTGCTAAGTGAATGTTTTTTTTTTTTAAATTATGAATCAGTGTTATATGATAATTTTTTTTTATCTGCATATGTACATGGGAATATATTTTTCATACTGGATTGGTCAGTAGTATTCACCAGACATATAATGGATTTTTTTTTCTACAGAAGAATCACCATAACTGAAGTAATTTTCTTCCAGATGCATAATTATTTGTTTTTAAACCTTTGCAGGTTATCAATGACTTTCGAGAAATAGATGTTAAAATTCACTTGGCTTTTTGCAAAGGTAAATTATGTAGCGTTACAGGTCCAATAAATATAAGACTGCTGTATGGGTTCTATTCTTTTATTTAGTACATCTTGATGAATTGAGCCCTAAAATTGAAAATATATTATAAATACATGTAAATCTACAAAACAAATAATTACAAACACAAACAATCATATATATCACATGAAATACAATGGTATAACATTATGCTCAACATTATACTTTCCTTCATGATACAGTATGTACAGCACTCTGAATAAAGGGCAATAACTCTTAATTTCAACTAAACAGATTTATAGGGCTTTACAGATAAAACATAAAAAATAAAGGTAAAAATGGATTTTGGTAATTAAGCTTGGTAAATCAAAAATATTTGTCAAACATACTTTATAACCAATAGCTTCATTAACTAATTCAAAGTAATAAAAATACCTAAAATAAATAATACATGTTCTTACCAAAGACAATGTGTCTGGAGGCTTACTGATTCAGATTTATATATTTACAACAACTTGTCATATGGTAACCCAGCACCTAGTCATCAAAATAATATAAAACAGTTCAAGGTGCTGCATACACACTTAAATGTAGTTTTTAACATTCAGATTATTTAAAACCAATAAGTCTTTTAATCAATCAAAATAATTAACTTATTCAAATCTTAAGCTTTAGATAAACTTTATATTAACTTTAAATGTCATAGTCAAAAGTATAGAGAATTAATTTAAACAACAAAATTAGTAAAATTAGTAAGAGAAATCTAACCTGCTGCTACATGTATCAGGACCAAGGTCTGGCTAGAAAGTGAAAAGCATGAACTGCATGGGATAAATGTACCACCTGACTGACCAAAATGACTTAACCAATAGCAGAACAGGGCAAGACCTCAATTATAATAATAATACATCACATGACACTACCAAACTGGACAAAACACTACACAGAACACAAAACACAACACAAGCACATGGCCAGGTAAACATTGAAATTACATAAACAAACACATTTAATATTTTAATAAATTTTATTAATCTGACCTTACTACACAAGCTCGCAAAAAATTATGATTTAATATTCCAGCTTTATCAGCTTACCTTAATGTGAAGTCATAGTAGCTACATGTACTTTCTTTGCTTAAACTTTATATGGAAAAATCATCATTACAATATAATTCACTGTAGACATTTCTAACATGATTTTGAGACAAGTTGTGATAACTTATAATAAACTGTTCCTAAATTTTACTTGCAATTATAAATATTCAGTTTCCCTTGTTGAATGACAGTGACAATTATAGTTGCAATAATAATTGTTTTTTTAAATGAATGCCAAGCAAATGAACTAAGAAACATCATAGTACCTTTTATAATATTAAATGGCAAAAAAAATATATATATATATATAAAGAGAATGATTTAACTGATTTATAAGTATGACTGATGAGACCTTGAAATGCAGAAAATACATGAAAATATTCAATGCTAAAATACTACAAGAAAATCGATTTCATTACCTACTTGGTAAATATGATACATTGCTGAGAGGTTTTACAATACTATTTTAAAAGATGAACCTATCCACTGTTAATGTCCTTTAGAGCATCAATAATCTGATATTAATATTTTTTCAGCTGGAATTCGAGAAATGTTCGAGAAGACGGGTTTCTTTGGTTGCCTAGACAGACACAACTTATTTGTGACTGTACATGATGCTGTTTTACATGCTCAACATCAGAAAACAAATGGAGTAAGTTATAAATAATTATTAATTTAATGTTTGTGGTCGACAAGATTGCTAGTTATCCCCTCACAATGAAGTTGGAGGGGATATAGCAATGTGTTTGTGTGTGTGTGAGTGAATGAGTGTGTGAGTATTGGAAGTAACACAAGTAATAATCTATATTGGGATCAATGTGCTCTGTATTTAAAATAGTTACAGTATCATGTAGTGATTTACAAAGTAAGGACAGTAGTTTGAAAGCTTTCTGATTCTTAGGATTAAATATACTTGTATTTAACAGAACAGATTGAGTACACCTATGCTAAAATTAGATTCTTAATTTTTTTAAAAAAATTTTATCAGGATAGTGACTCTGACTCGCCACAAGATGGCGCTCCAGGCTCTCTAGCAGTGGTGGTGCAGTCCGCCAGCAGTGGGAGTGAGACTGATGATAAATCATGATGATTTAATTGATCCTATGCAACTGACACAAACTCTTGTGGAGGGTTCAACCCTGCCCAATCTCAGGCATAAACAAACAAACAGCATTCCATCGAGCCTTTGTGTGAACAACACATGCACAATATGAATTAGTTGGATGAGGATGATCATTATTTGAATTACAGGCAAACCTCAGTATCTCAAAGTATAAACTTCAATATATCCAGGGATTCTAGATATAAAATTAAGACTGAAATTTATAGGATGTCAGGATCTTCCCTTGTTATATTTGACATGTTGGTGATTGCTATTCTTTTCAATATGTCAAAATTAGTTATCATTACTGATTTGATGTGGGGTTTTAGATATGGCCACATTTTTTCAGTTCAATTCCTTTTATTTTATCACTTTCTTCTTTTCATTTGTGTGGCAGTTAGACTATGTGCTGTGAACTTAAAATATAGTCATTACATTAAGATTTGTGAATTGAATCTTGCTGTCATAATTTGATACCTTCATGTTAGAGTGAAGCAAAATGTAACTTTATGAAGAAAGGTGAACTTGCTAATGTTATATGTGATGTGTTTAACAACATGTTTTTATTGGTTATCTGTTTTGTTAGAACTTTTTTTGTATGCAATGGTGTAGCAGTTAAATATTTTCAGTTAAAGATGATATAATTTGTTACAGAAAATCAATATTTTTATATACAATTTTACTTCTACATATGCAATATTATTTACGGTTTGAAGTGGGAAATATGTGATTATTGTATTTGAGGGTTTTATGAGTTCCTGTACAAAGTGGATGTGCTCTTATGTTGTTTGTTCTTCATGTAGAGAATATTTTGTACCATATTTAAGTTAAACTAATGAATTATTGATCACCACTGAATATGCATTATACTTTAAATATGTTGGAAATGTTTTACTTTGAATGATAAATCTCACTTTGATGTTAAACACAAAGGAGAATTGTATGAAATGTAATGAACTTTACAAGTAAGAACTATATGTCTTTAGACAGAAATCAAGGTTTTTTTAAAAAAAAACATCAGGGCTCTATTACATAATTATATATAATATTTTCTTCCATTGATATATGTTACATCCCACATTATATTTCATTTTCTTTTTGTATTTAATAATTTTTTTTTGTCTTTCAATATGCTGAAGACATTATTGGGTGCAGTAACATCATAAAGGTTATCTCTCAATCCTCATGTTTGACATCACACTGTACTATAGAATTTTAGGGTATGTCATAGAGAAAGCTTGAAGTTTAGCAAGTGTACAATGGGAAAAACAGGTTCCATAATTCTTTCTTTTTTAGTTTTTCTCAAGTTAAAAAAATAACTAACTTGCAAGGGTTTAGGAGCCTTTAATTTGTTCCCATTCTATCCATTAGTTATAGTCTTAATGCACGTAATATTGGTAAAGTATATTTTTGCAAATTTATTTATTTAAGCAATAGCATAAGATTTTCTTTGAGTACATGTATATATGGATTAAATTGGGCTCAGTGAAATTTGTGATTTTCTATGACACAATTGTATATGAAGATTGGTGTGTAATATTTATGTTCTTGAATGTTAAGTTTAGTTATGCTAAGTATAATTTCCTGCTTTGTTTTGTTTCTTTTTTTCATTCCAGTTTGAAACATTTGCAAGGCAAAAATTTTATTGTTGTGTTTTTAAGAGGTATGTTAATCACATTATATAACCAATATTCTCTGTATACACATGTTTATTTTTTTCAAAATAAAGGTTGTCATTACATGTATGTTGTCTTTGTAAAGATAAGTAATTTCTACAAAGGTAAGATAATGTACTCTTACAATACCGTGGTGTGAAAAACCCCCAATTGAAATATGCATATTGCAGTATTTGAATTTAAATTCTCAACATTGTTTCAAAAATGCTTACAAAGATGTTCATTGCCAAAAGTATTTAGATAATGTGGTATATATTTTTTACAAAAATTTCGAAAACACTAAACAAGTCCTATAATCACTTCTTAGAGAAGAACTTTATTAAGCGGGGGTAACCCAGTGTTTTTCATGCTCAGGATTCAGAGTGCTCCATTATTTATATAGTTTGACAAAGACATTGAAATGTAGGTAAAGTTTTGTATAGCATACCATGTAAAATACAAACTCTATCAAGTAGTACTGAAGAGGCTGTAAGAACACAGGAATGCTGAAGATAATAAATACATGAACACGTTGGAGAATGATGCCATTAGAAATAGACAAGAGTATTTGAGACATTTTCAGTAGCAGGATGAAAAACCATGGCAACAAAGTATGTCCAAAGTGTTGAATACTATGATCACATCAAGTCTGAGCACAAGTCCTATCAATTTGGAGAAGACCAAGGATATACAAAATAGCCTCACCCAAGCAATGTTGCTGAACTGCAATCTTTTTTCTTCTAAATTCAGAGGCATAGAAGATTTTCGTCAGCATGCTGTTGTACCTAAAGGCTTCGTGCAAAAGGGTCGAGTTTTCCTCAAAATATCCTTCATATCATCATGTTTTTTTTATTTTCATTGTTCCTATTTATTTCCTTTGAAACCAATGTACCTTCTCTGATAGGAAACGCATCCTCAAAAGATCCCTGAATCAAGGCAAGTGTACGAATTACACCTAGACATTTGGAGCACATTCTCTCGTGTGATTGCCTCCAAACATAGATATGTTTTTACCTATACATCACTAAAATGAGGACTTTTGAATGAAGACAAGTGGTTAAATACTATCCAATAAAAACTTTCAGCAAAAACTCCTCTTTCTTATGGTTATCACTCAAAACGAATTTGCCAATGTCTTGATGTCAAAACAAGACACAGAAATGGCTTTCTTGCCTGCAAAATAATTTTCTTAAGCCGACTGTGCACTGTTTTTGCACCAATATGATCTTGGTAGTTACCGATGGTGGTCAGAGAGGTTTCAACAGCAGCGGTATCCCTATTTCTCAATGGATGAAAAGTGAAATGCCTATCGTATCGTTTAGATGTCATCAAGTGCTTTGGCACCAAGTCTACCAGACTTTTAGTTGCCACAGATATGCGATACAATCTTGCAATATTCGTTTGGTGTATATTATTTGCCGGGGCCTTGCATAGAAGACATTTGTTAATCTAATCCCAGCGTTTCTTACTGAAGAAACAAAATCTTAATTTGTTTGTGTTTTTTTAAATGCAAACACGAAGAACACAAACCATGGAAGATAATAGAAATTTAATAACACACAAAGACGCAAGTGCTGTCATGGACGTCAGTCTTACAAGAGACCAAATATACATGATGTCTCCTTTGATTCACTTTTACCTTGCGTCAATAAAAAGTTAGGTCTATATTAAATCCGCACCAAACTTTACTGTTTCTAATCACTTCTCCGTGTCATCTGATCCCACCTCTGTTTTCAGTCATTTGTGTTCATTCTGCTTATAATTTTTTACCTTGAGAATGATCAGTGTTTATTATTTTCACATTTCATTGTCCATTTGAAAAGGCTAGAGAACGTTCATATTGGATTCTTTAACATCAGAATATTTAACTGTAAAAAGATTCATTCTTGAATTCCACCATATTTTAGCTAAAGTCCACGCCTTGTATTTCTTACAAATATTCCACTATTGTTTTCAAACTGTTTAATTAAATAAAATTCTCTACACTGCCTACATATCGACTATCTGATAAGTACACGTGTTCTTCTCCTTACAACTACTATATAGTCCAGCTGGACACGTAATTACTCATGATGTGAATAAAGGTAATGAGAACCTTAAAACACTCCTTTTAACAGGTCTGGAACCCCGATGTTCAATTTCATGAGTATTATGAATTTTGGGCCAAGATTATGCGAGACGATGGATTAAAATGAGGGATAAGATGTCAGAACGATGAAAAAGTATTAGATGGATCTAGAAATCTCGTCCCAAGGACTGACGATATGTTCATCAGTAATAAATAATTTACCACAGCAATTCGTGATTGAAATTTTGCTACTTAAAGAAGTTTTTTCTCACAAAAAATTGAGGTACATTACCAAGCATATGTGCAAATTTTAGAGGATGGTATTTACTATATAATCCTACTGGAAATCACTTGAATTGCTGATATAATAATTTTTTGTTTATACACAAGTATTGTTTTAGACATTATAAAAACAGTTTAGAAATCAGAAGACGATAATTATCAATATTTCTTGTTTATTAAGAAAAATACAAAAACGGTTATTTGAGGAATGTATCGTCATTCAGTAGTAAAATGCATACCATCTTTATCGATGACATTTTATCAAATAATAAAATTCATTTTTTCTTCATATGTTGATTTGATATTATGTATCCCAAAGAAGACGAAATAAGACATCACAGAGTCTGGTACACCTGCTTCATACTTGGGTGTTTTAATTGAGAAGGACTTACAACTGTAGATGGCAAAATAACACTTCACTTTGTCATAAATTAAAAGTGACGACTTCGACTTTTCTATCGTCAACTTTCCTCATTTATGCAGCAATTTACCATTATCAATTGCATATGGTTTTTATGACTTTCAGTTGATTCGATACGCATGGGTATGTTCTGTGAACAACCGATTTTTAAGCCCCTTTCTTTGCTCCTCGCGAAAATATTAACAGAAGAAAGCGTCATCAGTACTGCGAAACTACATATCTCAGAAATGATTCTTACCAAATTTGGATACTAATAAACTCATCAGAACTTTTTAGAATATTTGAAATCACAACATTTTGCTAAAATCAATGGTTATCAAAATAAGCTATTCTTTATGATAAAAACACCAAGCATTTTGCCATCACAGAAAACTGCTTCTTCAATAAAAATGAAACTCGGAAATTTTTATCTTGTGATTGTTCCTCTACAAAAGTATGTTGTTAAAAGTCATTCTGATTCTACGCACAAGCGCTCTGAAGTTTATATCATTTAGATGCTTCAGTTTCTGACTGACAATACCTATGTAGTCTTTGGAGACGAGGTCTTTCAACAATCTGTTTGAATCCCATGGGTATTTTTTGTACCCTTTTACTAGCAGACCTGTTTTTGCATTCTTAGGAAGTAAGATTTATTCAAAAAGCTTCACATAAAAAGAAGTCTCTAGCTGTAGCCTTCATGCAATTCGACATTTAGATATATCGATGACATTTTTCTCATAATGATATTCAGTTTTCTTCACATGTTGATTTGATATAATGTATCCCAAAGAAGACGAAGTAAGACATCACAGTCTGGTACACCTGCTTCATACTTGGGTGTTTTACTTGAGAAGGACATAGATGGCAAAACTACAAGTGAATTTCTCATAAATTAAACGTGACGACTTCGACTTTTCTATCGGAAACTTCCCTTATTACTCAGTAATGTATCAATGTACCATTATCACTTCCATATGATTTTTATGCCTATCAGTTGATTCGATACGCATAAACATGTTATGCGTACAACTGATTTTTAAACCGAGGCCGGCTAATTACAAATAAGTTGATGTTACAAGGGCATCAAAAATCTCATTTTAGTAAAAATTTCTCATATTTTCTTTGCGATACATTAACATTGTTTTCAAATACAATCAGTCCTTAGGTCAAATGTTGACTGACGTTTTTTTAATATAATTGTTAGGCATTTTTTTTCAAACAAAACTGCTTATTTATCCCTTTACCCAATCAAGAAAAAGGGCCCAAGACCGGTCGGCAAGGGATGCTTAATCCTACATGGTACTTGACCCTCCTCTGAAGTTTTCATGGTCGGTGATTGCTCTCTACTCAATTTGTATTTTTTTTCACGTTTGAGCACGTTAACTGTTCGTTATCTTCATATTACATTCAAACGCATACATCTATAACAAAAAGATAATTTCAAAGAAGTTCTGTATTTGTTACGTCTTTTAGAGTCTGTCTACGATTTACTTTTACACTCTGAAGGAGCACTCTATGGTCTTTCATAATTATTTCAAAAATATCTCCCACTTCAGGGCAATTTTTCTATATTTCCTAGTTTGTTCCTTTTTTTCGAAATGTTCTTAAACAGTTCCACAGCTGTCATTTCTTAAATTTTGCAAACACTCCATACAAGAACAAGACAAAGACAACAGAATTAAAATTTGTTTTTGTAGACATTTTGAGAATATAAATCTTTCCCTCCTAGATCACTCTTGAGTCAGTAGGACAGACTACCCCTGTTAAACGGTTTATGCATACTGGATATGCAGTGCTGAAAACAAACTAAGATAATTATGCCTATGTAAATATTTTTATTAAGAAATGAAATATTCTATGGCACTGTCTTAATGAAAGAAAGTCTGAACATCTACAGGTTTACTGACTTGAATTGTGAAATATGCTTTCAACATGTTCAACTGGAATGGAAACCAATGTCACAATCATTAATACAATCATTAATACTTGTACAGGGCGCAACTAATCCTAAATAGAAAATCCTGATTGAAAGTAAAAAGATACTTTTAAAGGGGGCATAGACACGGACTTTAAGTTCATATTCTTCCTTCAAAATTTTCGATTGATTTTTAATACTTATATTTTGCAAGAGCTTTTCAAACCGATATATCTTCAAATTGTGCGTCGATACTGCCTTCATTTGAAAATTAAAAAAACTAGAGTTTTATCTTTTTCTCCAAAAAGCCAACACACTTAACGTACAGGACTATATAATGAACTTGCATGACGACATACTTATGTTCATGTCAATATAATAACTCGTATGGCGTTATAAAGAAGTCAACATACAAATTTTTCATTTTGCATGTACATGTATGATGTCTTTGAATTAAGTGGTGATAGTTATAAAACGTACAGGACTATGTAATGAACTTGCATGACGACATACTTATGTTCATATCAATATAATTAACTCGTATGGCGTTATAAATAAGTCAACATACAAATTTTTCATTTTGCATGTATGATGTCTTGAATTAAGTGGTGATAGTTAAAATACCCATATTAAGGTATTCAATGTATAATGAAGGGATTTTGAAGAATTTTGAAGCATTTTAAACTAATTAAAATTGCATTGCTAGATAACGATGAAAGTGAAATGAACCAAATTCACATGACTGATAACATATAAGAAGCTGGGCATTCTGCACTTTTAAAGTTTTTGAAGAGTTATCTGCCCTTGATGCAAAGAAGAAAATTTAAATTTTGTCAAAATATCTGTGGTAAATGATTAATTTTATTTCATATCTTAATAATCAGAGAGTGTATGCATATTTTCACCAAGAGCTTTTTATGAAATTCGAAATACTTTTTGCAATATTCTAATAACTCATGCATTGCCCATAGACTTCAATGTAAAATTCAAGGTGCAATTAATTTGACAATAATAAAAAAATTTTTAAATTTCTTTGGTGGAGTATTTTTATTTCACAACACCATCAAAATGATACCATAATTACAAATATAGGACCATTCATTTATTAGATACAAAATATGGTCGTTATACATTGAATACCTTAAGATAATATTTTCTAAAAAAAAAAAAAAAAAAAAAAAAGATTGGCAACTTGAATTATACATAATTATCTTGCAATATTGTTGACATTCTTTTATGGCATACTGACTTTATTTATTTTGCATTATAGGGCAGAATTATGTCACCATATGTTCCTATGCATATAATCTTCATTCCAAATATTGTTTGTATCATTCGTCTACTACTTCTTGTTATTCAAGTATATATTATATTATGTGTTGGTCAAAACCTCAGTAGAACCAAAGTTACTTTTTAATTCGAAAATCCACGTGAAATAAAGCTTAGCGTATTTCATTGTATCTTATCTCTTTTTGATCTTTTGAATGGAATATACGTCCTCAGATTTTTAAATGTTTAAAAATACAAATACGGGGGTTCTTGCCAGAAAATTGAAGAAACTGTTGGACAAGCTTAGATGATCAATTTTCTACATTTTAACAATCTGTGCCTACTTTCATAGCAAAATTATTCTTTGCTTAGAGTTGTTAAGTCATATTTTAAAGCGGTAAATAGTTTAAGACAGTCAAATTATTTTCTTACTGATTTGAGCAAATACGGAATTAAACATTCTTCCTTATCATTGATTTGTATAATTCATTATATAATTCAAAAATATTTCTTCCTTACTTCATGAAAATAAATTCATTATATCATTAAGCTAAAATGTTTAGAGGAAGAAAATTGGACGAATCTTATTGGAAAAGGACGAGCAATTATGCAGTATTATTAGTAATCTGATAAACACAGTTAAAATTGCATTCTTTTAAGAGTTTTAAGTAGACAACTTGTGTACGTTTAGAATGACCTATTCCTAACTGTTTATTATGAACTTCTTCCTCTCACTTGTGAGAAGTACCTGCCATTACATTGAACTGCTTTATAGGTAGAATAATATGACCGGAAAAAAGAAGAATTTAAACAAAACGTGCATGTTTTTAAGAAATCACAAGGTTAAAAATGAACTTGGTTGGTCACGTGATCAAATATTGTCATGTTTGAAAAATTATCCACCTGGCATTACTTCTAGTAAACGTTAAAGATTGTAATATATTCAGCTGCACACCTTGAAAACTTCTTTAAAAATATCATTTATGTGTTTTTGATACAATGTTTGAATTTGAATAATGTAATCGAACATTTTTATACTTATTTGTCAAAGATCTTTGTTATGATAATTAATATGATTTTTTTTAAAAAATGCTGATAGGATAATAAGGAATGATTAAATAAATTCACGTTGTAATATTTGTCAACAACGAAACTGTGTTAACGTTATTAAGTATATATTTAGAATATTTTCTAAATATACATCGAATACTGATTCATTTTACTTCCTTTCCCGTAATGGCTCCGGTGTACTTGACATGGTTTTTGCTGCTATATGAAAGAATTGTCTGTTATGGTTTGTATGTTTCATTTTATTTCATTTTAACCTCCATTTTCAATTTAATTGCACTTTATGTATGAAATGGGTTCATGGAAAGTAATATAATTTTTTTAAGTATACAACTTTAAGTATACAAAATGCAGGTTATCTTAGATGTTGTCGGAAGATATTAGATCTGAAGTAGTGCTTCTGTCTGTAATTGATGCCAACAATCATTGTATATATATATATATATATATATATATATATATATATATATATAGAAAGCACAAAGAAATTCACTTTTATAAGGATACCCACTTCCGCCCCAGCCCGGGGTTGAACTCTCGACCTACGGAATCTGTCTCCTAGCAGTACAGGAACAGCGCGCTAGACCGCTCGGCTATCTAGGCAAGTCAAAAAACTTACTTTCGATGCCCATGGAATTCTCGCGGCGCTGCTCTACACTACACGGTCATTTAGAATGGAAGTGAGATACAGTTATTTGGACATTAGTTTTATTAGATTAGAGGATCGTTACCAATACACGTTGTTATGAAATTAAATTTTTATTTATAAAGCACATTTTACAACAACTCTTAAACTACCGGCAGTTATGTTAGTTTAAGAGTTGTTGTAAAATGTGCTTTATATATATATATATATATATATATATATATATATATATATATATATATATATATATATATATATATATATATATATATATGCAGGTTTGAAACTATTTTCACTAATTTTGAGCATTGATAAATAATGGATTTGTATGGTAAACTCTCTCTCTCTCTCTCTCTCTTAAATAAAAGTACTTTCACTTATACTTGTCAACTGATATTAATTCATATTTTTTAAAAAGCTATTTTGCTACAGTGTAATTGCAAGAATATTTTTGACATCATAGACAACTGTTTCATCAATTGTACATTTGTAATGTTTATATAACTCGTTAATATTCATATCTTGTGATTGGTCAACTACAAAATGACTTTGTTAAAAATCCTTCTGATTCTACATATTACAAATACTCTGATGTTGATATGAAAAAGATGCTGGGGTTCCTCATTGAGATTATCTATGTAATCTTCGGAGATCAGGTCTTAAGCTTGCTGGATTAATGCAATTGATCACTGTACGTTATCTTTACATTTTACATACATTGATTACTGAATAACCATCCTTACATCAAATCATTAGCTTTTAAGGGTAAAAATTTAATTATTTGACTAAATTTTCAATGAATATTAAAAATAATTTATTTATCAATATTTTAGGAGTGAGAAACGTTTGATATTTATTTCTTTTGGTTTTTTAACTTAAGGATATGGTATTAAAAAGGCACTGTACCAGTTGTTTTTTTTGTTTGTTTGGTTTTTTGACTCATACTAAATAAGTACTTAAGCTTTTAACCAAATGATATTTTATTGTAGAAAGATATATATGTATTTTATAATGATATTTGAGTTTGAATATAAATAAGACATAACTATTTGTTGTCACTGAGGTACATGTATATTAATTACAAACTATTAACGTGTTTGATTTGCATTTGCAATATTTGCACATTTTCCTTGCCATCAAAAATGATAATTGTACAATGCTCAGATAATTGGAAACTTAAAATAATACCAATAATTTATAGAGGGAGAATTGCTTACTCGCTATCTTAATTTTCTCTCAACTCTGACATTTCTATAAAATGAAACTGAAGTAAGAAAATATCTTTCGCAAAGGACTTAGTGTATTTACTACATTAAAAGTGAAGGAGATAAGAAAATTTATTTACCCACAAAAAAACCCCAACATTTTTTCCCGAAGGCAACACCTACATCTTTTAAAATTATTTTTAGAAAACTTATGCAGAAAACCAGGTATATATGCAAGCCAAAGTTCAGACAGAGGAGGTTTTCCTGCAACAAATGCTGTTGATGGTTTCTACAATCAGAAGTATGTTTTCTGTGCACACACAGCGCCTCACCAGTCAAAAGCTTGGTTTCAAGTGGATCTAGGGAATCCCTATAGACTCAACTCTGTAAACATATTTTACAGGAATGGTATAAAAATATATAATATTACGAGCGTCAATACTGATCCAGATGAATTAAATTGCAAGATTTACATACTTGCAAAAATATGGAATACGTTTTAAATTTAACGTTGACTTCCTCGTGACGATGAGCATAACAATAGCATTTTTTTTCTTTTGAAAAATCAAGGTTGTATGCATGAATAGTTATCAAAAACCAAAGGATTAATTTATGCGATCAAAATTAATTTATCAAAAAATTAATGGCTATACAATGAATGAAATATGGAGATAACAAATAGTATTATGGCTAAAAAGTCCCTTGAACCAATACAAATCGGGAACAGAGCAAACACGGACCTCTAAAACCATCAGAGGTGGGATCAGGTACCATGGAGGAGTAGGCATCCCCTGTCGACCGGTCACACCCGTCGTGTGCTCATTGACATGATCAGGCAAAATTCAAAGACAATTCAGTGTTTAAATAAAGGCCAAATAAGCAGTATGAAAAAACACCAGTCAGTATTCGACTTAATGATAGATTGGATTTGCTGATAAGGTCATGGTAACGACAATAGAACATGCACAATGTTGACTTAAAACGAGATTGTTGATATCCTTGTTCCATCAACTTGTTTGGTAATAGTTTGCCTCCTTTTAGAAATAGAGAATGCTATAAATATTGAATCAACTGGGAGATATAAACTCCATATGCAGGTGATAAGGATATATTGCTACATAAATAAAGGAAGTTACCGATAGAAAAGGAAGTCATCTCGTTCATCATTGGTTTGTTGTCAGGTTACATGTACCTCGAACGTCTTTCTCTGGTAAATTATTCATATATAAATAGATGTGTCAGACTCTGTGGTATCTTTTATGTCAAGTTCAGTGGGATATATCGAGTTGACATATGAATGAAAGTAACTAATGTTTATTGATATATGTAAATGTCGCGTTGAATGCCACTGGAAGTTTTTTTTTCGTATCATGTATACGTTTTTAAATAAATTCTTCTACATATGAAAATAAAAATAGGTCTGCTAATAAAGGGGCGCAATTAGTACCTATTCCGATTGAATCTTGGAAGACTTGATCTCCGAATACTACACAAATATTGTCAATCATAAACTCAAGCATCTTTCAATATCAATTTCGTACTACTGTGTGTGCAATCAGAATGTTTTTTAGCAAAATAATTTTGCAAATGACCAATGACAAGGTAGGTAAATTTACGAGTTCCATTTTATTGAGAAAGCAGCTGTCTATGATGTCAAAAAGCCTGGAATTTAATTTATCGTTGGGAATGGTTTTATAAAGTGTAGAAAAGTCGTACGTTTTAATGTTTTTGATTTTCGTAAAAGTTTTTGATTTTTGTAAAAGTTTTTGATTTCAAATTTTCTTAAAGTTCCTTGGAGTTTTTAAGTATCCATTTAAAAAAGGTGAAACTAATGAATAGTGATCAATCTCATAAAAAACTACAAACAATACAAATCTGTGAACAGGGCATAAACACGGATCCCCTGATATTCCAGAGTTGGGATTCTGATTAACACTACTTCTCGAATATATTGTTGTACAGTACTTCTGAAGTTTCTCCTTCACTGCTGTTGATATTTTAGGGAGGAGTAAAGAAAGAGGCTTATCATATGTCTCTTGTAATTTAGGAATCCAGTACAAATATGGTAATTCAAATTTGATTCAATTTGATTGTTGGGAATATTAATAATATTTAAAACAGACATACGATATTGAAGAGCTTTGGGTATCAGCACTTGCAGAATTAAATTCCAGTTCCTCTAAAATAAATAAATAAATAAATAAATAAATAAATAAACAAATAAATAAATAAATTTAAAAAAAAAAATTATGAGCCATACAAACTAAGACAATATTGTTACCTGCTTTGTCAGCTGGAACCATTCCACATTGATCATGCAATCTATCCTATTCTTTTTTATACATTTATTTAAACATACACTTCTTTATTGTATTTCTTAGTTTTTGTAACAATTGTTTTGTTATTCATTAGCAAAAATAAAAAACCCTCTGGTATAATGAGTTAATATTATTTATTTCCTTTGTAGATTATGTAATTCATTCTTTCCCTTCATATGCAGAAAATGGAAAAATAATTTAATTACAGTCCATTTAAAGAAATAAATTAGAAACAGCTAATTATTCTATAGTTTCTCCTTAAAATAATGTCAGAATCTATTTTCATCGACATCTTTTTGTCTTTTAATTTTATATGTCAAAACTTTAGCAAAAGCTTTCAATGATGTGTGAGAAATGTAGAAAGATTGATTCACAAAGAATTTTTGGAGGGTTCGGATACAGAGAAGATGCTTGATTTTTTTTCTCTTCTTTTTCTTTTTGCACATTTACTGTCAGTATAAAAGATTTCCCTAAAAAATTGGAACCGATTTTTCATATTTAATTGTTAGAAATATCGAGGTAATTTTTCATAAAACAAACCAGTTTTAGTTACATGTTTTAGCTGACTTTGAAATATACTTTTAAACAATTGTAATAACTTTAAACAACATGAAAGACTTTAATTATACTAATTACCATATAACTCAAATTATGTCAATTTAATCAATTTACTCAACATGTCATAAGTCGTTCTATCTAAGCCATTTATCACCTATGCTCAGAATTGTTCTAACTGTCATTGTTATACTTTATTATTTATATGTTACATGCAACATTGTTAATCAGTCAAGTCCAAGGCTTTGAACTGTTCGGATGTAATTTTTGGATTTCCAGAATTCGCCCTACCGACCTAAGTTCATAATAAAGTGCCATTCCATCGTTAGCATTTCTTTGTTTCATCGTTGCTGGGAAGTTTTTGACTTATTTTTTTTGACTAATTTGGTGGTGATATCCTAAGGGTATAACACCCAGGACTGCTTCATATATTTTGTAGCAGTTTGATCCTGAGTTCCAGCAACTAAGCGAGTTTTCCCAAGTTTTTTTTCTCACGATAGATTTTATTATCAGAATTGATCGATAGTTCTTGAATATCCTTATTCAAAACAATATTTTGATTTTGAAGTTTTAAGATTTCGATTCACACTCTGCTTTAATTTGTTAATTCAACCGTCATATTCTTCTTCTCTTTAGTTGACATGCATAGTTGAAATGTAAGATTTTTCAGCTCAGTTCGTAAAGTGCACGATGTATCACATAATGTACGAAACTGAGTGTCTCAAAAAGAACTGAAAGGCAATTGCCGCAGTATTTGTTTATTTTCGAGATACTTGCAAAATCGTTTCATGTCTCGCACTTTTTTCCTGCTAGCAACCGGTCCGTTGTCGTCACTTTTTGGCTTTGTTTCTTTAATCTGTGTGAAGCACATCCTGGAATTATGTCCAATTCTATGACATCGGTAGCACTTCTAGTTCAAGGCGTTAGGATGCACATTTCCGCAGCTTCCTTACACTGGAGGCTGACATGAAGGGAAGTTGAACTTCTTCGGTCTCCACTCCACAACATTCCATTGCTGGTCCTAATGCGTCTGCTACATCTGTAAAAAGCACTGTCAAAGTCTGAGAAAACTCCCTATTTCGCTTTTGTAGAGGTTCAGGATCTGACTACTACAAAGTATATGTAGCAGTCTCGGGTGTCGCTACCTTTAGGTTTCTCCAACCAAATATTGGGATATGAATTTGTCCTTCTCATACAGGTACACGTCGCTAAAATGTCACCAGACACTCAATAACTGTTTGCTAATTGATTTCTTTATACTTTTGTTATTCCTTTTATTTTGCTCCATCTTTGTTCAGTATGTATGTTTTGTTGTTAAAAATTACAGTCAGTTGGAATCAGATCTTCGGTATTGATACATCCCAAACTCGTGTTAAAGTATATTCCTTGCTAATTCCATATAAAAGTACAAGAATTGTAACTCGTGTTTGTGTCTTGAGGTTTTAAAGAATCTGGGTTCAACAATAAGAGGAAAACTCACGGTTGGTCCAGAATTAGAATTTGACGCAAAAATTCACCCCGTAATAGAAATAATGGCATTTAGGGAAGAATTTTCAACTGATTTGCACTCGATTGCGTCAAAGATTTTCCAATCTTGTTAATATGGCATGGGTTTATGTTAACCTAAAATATTGATAAGAAAATATTGCTCAAAAAAAAAAAAAAATAAATAAAAATAAAAATAAAAAAAAAAATTAAAAAAAAATAAAATAAAATAAAAAACTAAATATTCAAGTATATATTTGCTAAAGAAGTGTGTTGAAGGTTTGAATTAACACACAACACCTGATAGAGGAATTAACGTTTTTTTTTTTATTTTTTACAAAACCCAGACATTACTTGGAGACCTTACCGGTTTCGTCAATTCTACTTGGATGTATCAAACACATCTGCAGCTCTCTCCACCACATTAACTCCACAGAGGGTGCGATGCTACAAGGACAACACAACAGATGAAGCCATACCCCCCGCCCTGATTGATATTCCTTGTACACAAACAGCACAATACGTCATCATAGAAACAACATATAATGCGCCCGAAAATCCTAATAGCGGAGATGGACCTATGCTAGAGATATGTGAAATAGACATTTATGGTACATGTAACAACATACATGGCTTGAAGAAAATATTGCATTTCTCTCTGGACCTTTTTTTCTGAAATTCTGCATAATATTTTTAGTTCTTATATTAAATGTGGATTCTACAATGCAAATTATATTATATTCATTTAAAAACTCACAATTAAATTCCATAAAAAACATTCAATGAGGAACTACATTTTGGGGAGAAGGGGTTTTGTTTAGAAGAAAATGATCAATTTTACAGTACTGTTAAGGACAGATGATACAAACAATTTTTTTCTTTGGAGGAGACTTGATATCATGTCCCAGTTTTAGAAAATAAATATACCAAGCAAGGTGAACTTTATGAGGAAAAGCAAAATGATAAAAATCACAAAGGCCGATTTTTACCATTTTGCTTTTCATCATAAAATTCACATGGCTTGTTATATTTTTAAAAAGTTTATATTACACTTTTAGCACCAAGTTAACATATTCTGAAGTTTATTTTCATTTGTAAACCTTTACTGAGTGTGATTTGTCCATATTTGTAATTTTATTGAAGTATCAACTAATATTTTCCAAGTTTCATTTCTTTTATGCAAGAAAATACATCAGGTTGTTGAGTAAGTGTAATATCAGTTCACTCTGTGCTCCTTTAGAAACATTTTTGAAGAAGAAAAGAGGGTAAATGAACGAGGATTAAACAATTTCACCATGATTACTCTAGTTGTGTACTCTTTGGGGGAAATATGGAAGGTATTTATTCTCCAAGTCTAAGGAGAAAAACATCAAAAAATTATCCACTTTTCTAAAACTGTGACATGATGTTAAGTCTCCTCCAAAGAAAGTTTGGATTCCTTTTTTTTCATACAGGTTGCACACAGAATTATTTTATAAAGTGAAATGCTGGTCCTGAAATATATTAAAATATCCATTATGAATTCTTTCATCATATTGGGAGAAATATAGCAAATATATTGTGAAAGTCCAAGAAAAAATTGGTCCAATTTGACCTGAAAATTAGCACTTTTTTTTTTTACTAATATCTAAAAATTTAGTAATACTCCCACTTTTAAAGAGCTAGGTTCACTTCATGCATAAAATGGCCCTGTCCTTATATCAATTAATCGACTATCAACCTCTATCCCATTTCATATATCAAATTAAAGTAGAGACTTAGTGCTTTCATTTCCTATCACAAAATTTCTTTTTGAGAATCTAGGTATTGGAAAACAAGCTTTGGGAAAATACAATGTTCGTGAATTTTGCAGAAAACATGCGTATTTGACTACCTTCAGCAAAGAAGTAAAATATGAGCACAGCCCACGATCCAAAAATTAAAACATGTTTTGTGATCTTCAGAAACAGATCTTTCATTATGTAATTGCATATTTTGGATCAGAGGTTGTGCTCTATATTTAATATTGAAAAAATATCTCAACTTTTGGCCATTTTAAGGGTAATTTATAAGATATGGGGAAAATGACGTATTTTATGACGTCATAATGCATTGACTAGAGAGAAAATTACGTCATGTTCAATAGATACACGGTCACCAAGGGTCCAAGTTATAAATACGGCATTTTCAACTAAAACTGAGTAGTTTCGATTTTTCAGAAATTCTCAGGGCCAAAAAAGGCCTTAGGTGGCTCTTGCTCTTTCTTTTTGAATATATAAGATAACTTTGACCATTCTGCTTAAAGTCAGTAAAAGTTTAAGACTTTAAAATAAATTTTTTTGCTTGTTAATTTTTTAATTCCAGAAAAATGACATTTTGAGAGTGTAATAAGATCGAATAATTATGCGAAGTTGTTTGAAACTTTTTCTTTGTCACAATTTTAATGTGTCTTCTCGAGATAGAATAAGACCATATTTGTTCCCATATTTATTTGGATGAAAAATATTGGATGAAAAACTTCGAAAAAATGTGATTTATATTTAAGACGCAATTTCAGTGCAGAATGGTCATGTTAAATGCACAGTAGCACCAAAAATCGTATTGAACTCAAATTTTCGTTTTTGTTTTTGATTAAGCCATGCGTGTAGGTACCAAAAATATACTTGACAAGAACTTCTTAAATCATTAAAAAATGTGAAAATGATTAAAATAAAGTTTGAAATGTAAATCAGATACCTGCCAATTGAAATGGGTTTGACCTAGAAAAGTAATTTAACATGTTAAACTAAAAGAGTATTTATTTACCTGAAAAAAAAAAATAAAAACAAACAAAACAAATAAACAACATCATCAATAACAACAATAAAAAATCAATTAGGTTTTTTTTAAAAAAAAGTCTGTATTTCAATGGAAACGATTACACATTTGAACTCAATTAAAATGGTGCAACAGCCAATAATGTACAAAACCATTAGAACATTTTAAAAATGGTGAATTCTTTGTTGACCTATGCACAATCTGGATTTCATTCGTTGATTTGACTTATTTACTGTTCTTGCAAATTCCAGCAAACATTCAATTTGATAAATATTTCTTGCAAACTTGCTGCGAACCACAGATTAGCATGTATATTCCTCGCAATGTTCCTGCGAACATTTGAGTTCCTGCTTATTTTCTGCAAGCTTGCAGCAATTGCTGCAGCGTTTGCCACAAGATCGCATTTGCGAACAAGAAAGTTGTGTTTTTGCAACCAATTTTACAATAAACTTGCAGCAGATTTACTGCAGATCTTCAGGAAACATAGACAAATAATCAGAATTTGTAACATTTATTATTTATTTTTTCTGCTTTAATTTCCGATGTAAATGTGCAGATAATAAACTACTTAAATTTTATCTTTTCTTTCTATACTTCTTTTTTTAGTTTATTTATTTATTCATTAACTATCGATGTTTGTTTTTATTTGAATACTTTGTTATTGTCCACAAACCAAAGAAAATAGGAATTGATTCGAATTTCCTCAATAGCAATTTCAAATTTACTTGCATTGGAAATTTTCTATGAGGTCTCTAAAAAACATGATACGCATTGGACTGTTTTTGAGCTTACATTTTGATGAAAACACATATAAATTTTATCTGTTTTTCTTTATATGGAATTACCAAAGCTTATTTAGAAATTTGAGAAAAATTATAATAAGAACGAATGTTGTTAAGCTTTAAGTTTGAAATAAAATGCTAACTTCACAAATACTAATGGTTGATGACCATAAGATAACCAGTGAAATAGTCTCTATTATATAAAGTTATTTTTAGGTCAAAGAGATGGGGGGGGGGGGGCGGCGAAGATGTTGTTTGAGGTCTCTAAAATAAAATTAACTATCGAATAATATAATAGTTTTTTTTTAAGTTTTAGTGCTATATGTACATAATTTCTCAATTTTCAAATTACTTTTAAATAAAATATATGGAGACAACTAACATATAATACCTTTCAGGATGTAGTACTGAATGTTTTGGAGGTTCATGCTACTCAAATGGTGAATGCGGCACGTGTGGAGGAGGTCAATGGGGAGATACATGTCAATACAACTGCTCTTCTAATTGTTATGACGGGAATTGTGACAAATATAAAGGATATTGTAATCGTGAATGTAATCTTGGATTTTGGGGATATAACTGTACCAAAAGATGTAGTGATCATTGTTTGAATGATGTTTGCGATTATTACAACGGATCATGTATCATGGGATGTAAAAGCTACTTTACGGGAATTATGTGCCAAAGTAAGTATCACAAAAATAAAAATTAACAATCCACAACTGCACAGCGGTGTTCAAACGTCATTTTATGATTATGCTGTTGCAATGGATGAAGTAATAAAGTTTTTTTTTTTTGGTAAAAGTTATAATTAGTTGGCAGCTCTGTCTTTCATATTGTTTTGTACAGTTGTATTATTTGTATTCCGTTACTGATGTGTGAAGTCCATACTCAAATTTTTTAATTGATTATGAATATCATTCTGCTATTTACCTGGGAGGCTAACTTAAATATCTCAGAAGATAGCTAGGTAATGATCTCCAAGAGTAAACAGCGAGTCATACTAAAAGAGTTCAGAACTACACAAGTGATCGCTTTGTCCTTGTTTAAATCTATTTAGTGAGCAAAATTTTGAACCTTTACATTCATCTCCAGCTATAAGAGAAACAAATTTGTGCATTATTCGTAAAACGTATTTTATGTATTTTTTCACAAAACCTTTACACATTCCATATTTATTTCATATCTATCAATCAATTATTTAAAGGCCCTTCTCTTTATTGGACTATTTGACTCAGAAAAACACATACATGAAAATAATAGCTAAAATTCTTTTTATATACTGAAACGCAAAAGAAACGCAACAAGCAGTATTTTACAATTATTTGAATTTTTTTCTAATGATTTTCAAAAATGAATACAGTAAGGTAAAACTCGATTTAAAAACATCAGAGATTTCATAAAAATGTTAAATGATTATCTTTTAACTTTAGAGAGTAACACATGACTGTCAAAACACCCCCACCCCGGCCATTCAATTACAGCGTGCAAAGCTGCTATGCACAACAATTGTAGTTTGATTTCTACGATGCAATAGGTTCATCACTATCGAGATCTGAGCGAAAGAAATATTCTTTGCCATTTTTTAAAAGCCTGTTTTTCAGATGAGGAAGTGGAATTTTCTCTAGCCTAGCGTAGTGTAGAAACCACTGGAATTTCGGTCCAAGGACTGTTATTTATGCTAATGATGCGTAAGAGCCTGTTAAGGCGTGATGTAGTGCAAATTTGCATCTGTAACCCTCCATCACCTTTATTTTGACATTTTCCAGCTAGAGCAATGGAAATGCGTCCTTAAGTCATTTTCAGGAAGCCTTGCCATCGCTTACGGAAAAGAAAGGAGAATTTATTTTCAGAATATTGCTGCATTACTTATGATGAACAGATACAAACCCTTAAAACATATGATTGCCAAATGATTGGTTAAACATGCAATTTTTGATTTTTGTTAAGCGGGCTTAAACCTAACTTCCAGTAATGGTATGAAAATCATTCAATCGTTAAACTACCGATATTTAAAAAGTTGAAGATATCCTTACTTTTTAGATACAAAATTATATCCTATATATAATATTTCCCTCTAATATAGGATGTTGCGTTTCT